GTCCGATGAGTGCCGGAAGATGCTCTGGGGGTGCTTGCATCCCGACCCCCAAAAGCGCCCCACCGCGCTTGAGCTTTTGCAAAGTAAGTACTTCTTGCTTGGGGCGTGGATTAGCCCGAGGAATAGGAATGGAAACCTGAGAGGGGGCTTGGGTACGCAGCTCCCAGAGGAGCCGTGGGACGGCTGCGTTAACTTTGAGACGATCGCGGAGAAGGCCGGACTTCCGGTGCTGCCGTCCGACCTTTACGCGCCTTTCCCAGGGATCGCGACTCAGCCCCTTCACAGGAAGTAACCCTAAGGTTTAAATTTGTTTAATGATTGTGCTTGTCCGTTTTATGAGGAGACTTAGTGAAGAACTTTGGGTTGATTCTTCTCATATCACGCGAAAGACCGTTTTATTTTTATTATGATTATTATTTTAGGTTGCTTACATTCCTTTTCTCTCTTTCTTTCGTTCTATTATTGTTGTTATTTTCCTTTTTTTTCCATTTTTCTACTTTCAGAGGCATTATTTATCGTCAGATTTGGATGGTTCCCCATAAATCATAAACATTATTATGTCGTGATTAATTATTCATTTGAGTACAGACTATTTGTGTAGCTAGATATAAAAAGCGGATACACTCTTATATATGAATATATTGGCATATTTTCATCTCAAATGGAAGTGAATAAAAACGACATAATCCAAAATATTAGGAATATATCTAATTTATTTTATAGATGTGAAAGTTATGATAACTATTTACATTATACAATACATCGCATAGTGCACCGTTATTCTGTAGTCTATGCTGAGAAGAATTCTATTAAATGAAAGGGAATATACTTTTATTATATGGTTTTGAGGTTTCTCAAATAACAAATAGAGAGACTAAAAAATTACCTTTTTATGTAGGCAATATTTATGTTTTTTTTTTTTAGTAATGATGTATGTTTATGTAGGTTGTAAGATAACCTTCTTCATCTTTCAAAAAATAATGTCAACAACAAGTAGAATATATTTTATTGCACATATCATTTTCTTTTTTTTTTAAAGTGACTAATGCTTTTTTGACATTACTTATTGCTTATCTGAATTTATGAATAAACTTTGAGCTTCAATTACTAACCAAACACTGATTTATTCGGCATTATGAATGAGTGCGAATGGTAAATGTCATGCCTTGGATTAAGTTCCATGTTTCCTAAATATATTAGAATTTGTGATCGATCTAATGAAAAGCATTAAAGGTGTCATTGCTCTGGCGGGAAAAAGTAAGTGCATTGATGCATTTGTTATGCTTCTTTTTTTTCTAACCTAATTTTATATTCTTTTCCTTATTACTTAAGATCGTTCTCAGGTCAAAGAATCCTGAGTTTAACGTGTGAGAAGGAATACTATATTTAACAACAGCAAATAAAGATCTTCATTTGAAAAGTACCTAAAAGAGCAATAATTTAGATAAAACATTTTTAGACCTTTTAAACA